TCGATACAAACGCGCGGCTGCATTGATACAAACGCGCGGGTGCATCGATACAAACGCGGATTGCATCGCTACACTTGCGATTTGTAGGCGACTGCATCGATACCAACGCGAGGCTGCATTGATACAAACGCGCGGGTGCATCGATACAAACGCGGATTGCATCGCTACACTTGCAATTTGTATTTGATCGCGCGTCTGTTTCGATGCAGCCGCGTGTTTGTATCGATGCAGTCGCCTATAAATCCCAAGTGTAGCGTTGCAATCGCGCGATTCTAAGGATGCAGTCGCGCTGTGACGGTGTGACCTCCTTTCACCGTCATCTCACCTCTTTGTATATTTCATTCATTCATTCATTCATTAATTTTTTATTTTACATGTATTTAAATTTGAATTGTTCCATCTTCCTTCTCTTTCTCATTCTCATTTTGTGTTCGTACCACGGTCACTCCCAGCTCAACCGCCACAACGGTCGGAGCTATTCCAAATTCCATTTACTAAAAACTCATTTTTGATTCTTTACCAAGTTATAATACAAACCATAATACAACAGTCGGAGCAAAAGAATTATCAAAAATTTGCTGCACTAGTTTTTGGACCAAAAATGAAGCCATAAATCCGAATGTAATGGTGCCGCCATTGAAACCCTGGCTATTACACGAATATAAAGATTTGTGCAGACGCTTTCTGGCGCTTTCACGCGCGCGTGTGTAAAAGTAGACGATGAGTGACTGCATCGCTGCTAAAAATCACCGTGTGTAATCGCTCTTCTAACTGCCTCAGTGGCCGAACGGTTACCATGCCGGACTGCCACGCAGAGGTCCTGCGTTCGATTCCCAGGCCGGGAGAAATATGTGTATGGCTACATTTATTTCTCTCGTGAGTTTGGGTGTAATTTGTGGTTGTCTATGTGTGTGTCCATTGCACCCGCGACACAGGGTTTCCCTAGTGCGGGGGTAGGGGAGTGTTGGGTTTATTTATTATTTTATTACAGGAGAAATATATTCTTCAAATATGGAGGTGACCATTATTATGGTACTCCCTTTCCAACAAAAAGACTCATCGAAATTGGTCAAATTGAGTCCTCTTCCTTTTTTTGAAACCGTTTAAAAAGAATCGTGAGTCCTCAGTGAAAATGCGACTTATAACTATTTTTTTCGGAGCTAAATTGCGAATAATTGTGTTTTCAAACAAACCGATATATGTATAACCGATATATAAATAACCCATGTCAGCTTATCAGTAAGCAATCGGACCTGTAAAGAGTTTTAGATGCATTTGCACTGTATTATGTATACTATGTTGTTAATGATTTATTAGACAATAAGTTAAAATATATGCAGGTAAGGTGAAAGCTTATATAAAAGTAAGTTTCAATTATGTGAATAAAATTGAATCACAGCGGCAAGGTACCCTAGATGCTGGCGGCGTTCCCCCTTTGTATGGCTATGCTAATGCGTTGGTCAAGGTAGCTCCCGGCCATTGGATTTCCCACACAGTCTATTAATTTTTTGGATAAAATTTTGTATATTATTTCAATGTAACTTTGCGCATATTCGTCATATTTTTGCTTTGTCCCTGTCGTTGATCCTGGCCGGAAATACGTCTTAGGAAACTTTGGCATATGCTGAGTCAGCGCTCTTTCGCCGCTATGATAATATGGATAAAGTATTGGATACCCGTTCACATTTTCTTTGAATTGTAAATGAAACCAGAAGTGAGCAATACTAGAGGTATAATTTATTTATATAATTATTTTTTCTGCAATACACATAAGAGACGAATCGATCCACAAATTTTCTAAAAGTAAAAATGCGCGCGTGCGCCATTTTTCTTCGCTTTTATATCCCATTCTCCTCACTCCTTTTGTACAGTGTTGCCAAGAACTCACTTACAAACTTACTCATTTTACATAAAAAAGTAATAATTGTCTATGAAAACACAAATAACGAATGCAAAAAGGTAGCAACACGACATGGGACCTTACAGAATGTCCTTGTATGACCTTCTCCCTCCCTGTATATTCCCTTGTGTAACCAACATGTAAATCACTTCTTCTTTATGTGGTTCCTCCTTTTATTGACACTTTGTGTGATTCTATCCGCTCTAATAACATTAGGCTCTAGTTTGTTGTTTATCCATGATTGTTCTTATTCACCTCAGGTATGACCACAATAGAAGTTCGTCGAAGAGGTTCTTCCAAATATAAATACCCTCCGGCTGCTTTAACGTTGCCGTTTTTGATCAATAATATGTTAACTGACTGCATATTTCGAAACTGGACGCTATTAAGGAAATAATAACAATATATATGTATATTTTCTTCAGATCAACGCCGAAGCGAAAAAGAAAGTCGACGTTCTGTCGGAAGATTTACTACCATACATCATAGCGGAGCAAGAACGTCGAATGACGCTTTACAAACGAATCATGACGGCCATACAAAATGGCGAAAAGGGAGTCACTATAGCCGAAATTAGAAATAAACCGCCATTGATTATCAGAAAAGGTATTTTTGCGTGTACACTTGGTATAAGAACTACTATTAAGTTACGATTTAGTGAGTGTAAGGCCACGTAAGGCTGAGATTTAAAAAACAAACTTTTTTCGAACTTTCACTTCGACTAAACAAATATGGCGATCTAAGCAACTTGTTCGTATTTACGAAACAAACTTTGACTAAGTTTAGGCAAAAAATTACGACGTAAATTGAAAGTTAGCTAGCTAGTAGCTTTTTTAGTTCCAGTATTAGTTTACCATACTGAACTATATCTTCCATCGAGCATATAACCAGAAATAGAGACGAAATAAGGGCCATATATTCCTGGTAACACATTAGCGATACAACTCTTAAAAATATCAACTCTCGTTTGCGCTGAAATATAGACAGGCCAACTACCTGTGTGTACGTCTCCGTATATTCTAAAAAATATTCTGTATTTATTGTAATAAAGATAATTACTCTAACAATGCCATGCTGTTCTATTCGGTGGTGTGGGAAAAACAGCAAAACATCTAATTACAAAACAAACGGAATCAAATTTCATCGGTAATTAAATAATAAATATGTAATTTTGCAATTTTCGTCCATCATGACAAAGCTCAAGTAACTGGTCGATTTGAAGTGAAACAATTGACGACACCCGTCAATTGTTTCGAACTCGGGCTGGCCAATCGGAGCGCAGTTGTCACAGTAATGATATGGCAGAATAGTTTTCAAACAAATTAAATGACATTTCGTTTCTATTTCTGGTTATATACTCGATGATATCTTCTGTGCCTTTCGTGCTGTAACTGTAAAAGTGTCTTATTATAATTAAACAGCGTAAATTGGACTTGAGTATTTTCTTTGTGTTTAGGATTGTAAATTGCCGTAGTTAACATAGTTCTACATATTCTTCAGAAGAATTTAAATGTTGTTGCCTAGTAAATAGAATTCAGATTCGTCATTAATGTACGTGAAAGCGTGGTAACTCCTCTCTGCCTCTGTGGCCGAACGGTTACCATGCCGGACTGCCACGCAGAGGTCCCAGGTTCGATTTCCGGGCCGGGAGAAATGTTTGTATGGCCTACATTTATATCTCTCGTGAGTTTGGGTATAATTTGTGGTTGTCTATGTGTGTGTCCATGGTACCCGCGACACAGGGTTTCCCTAGTGCGGGGCTATGTTGAGTGTGTGCGTTATTTATTTATTTATTATTCATTAACTGGAACGGTCGCCGCGCGGCGGCCGCTCGATAACTCTCGCCTCGTGTAACTGGGTACTTAAGGGCACCTTTTTAAAGAAATTTCATGTTATCATTTGACAAACCTAACAAGAATTTAAATTAAGTACCTTAGTTAAGTACCTATTTTATTTTCACTTAACTGGACGCTAATTGTTTCGGCCGGCGAACGAGACTACAGCGCCTGGCCCTCTATTTTTCAGGTGTCATGTACCGGTGCCCGTCGAACCGTGCTCCGAAGGAACCCGACGGTTCAGGGATTCTAAAATGTGACGACGATATCACACCAACTCAGATTATGTACGACTCTTGTCTCAGTGCAGAGGATAAGGATTTGTATTTGGCCGAAGGCAAATACTTCTTTTGTAATCGTAAGTATCCGTACGTTTTCTTATGGTGTCGATGGTTCTTTTGTTTTAGGACTTTATTGGCTTTGAAAAAAGTATATTACCTCAGCTCGAAATAAAAATTTTCCCATACTAATACGGTTAATTTTGCTTGGGTCGAGCTGCAGGTGCACTGGCTTTATTTCTGTATTTCGACTCATCCGAAGAACAGAGTCCGATGTGATTATATAGCGAAAAGAGAATAAGTACGTTACGAGAATAATTTCATTATTCAAACTTACGCCTATGTAAAGGTGTTTTGAGAATTTATACCTATATCTTGATTCGTTTCGGAAATTATAAAATGGAAGAACAGTCGATCTGACATCCACAGCGAAGAAGAGCGAACGAAATGTATTATGTCCTGAGAATAAGTAGCCTTGCACATAGACCTTTGTTCTACGGATGAATCGATTTATTATTTTACAAACGAAATTAGAGCCGTTTCAAAGATGTATATTATATACTATACACGTCCTATTTAGTTCAGTTGACGTAAAAAAGAAATAGTATGTAAGTACTGAATACAGCGGTTTTTGAATTTCGAGGTCAGTTTGTATTTTTTTTGTATCATGAAAATTTTTAGGAATCGTGTTTTCGTATCTTAAAACACAAAGTTACTGAAATGCAAAAAAAGGATTGTATATACAAATTTTACAGGCTGATCTCACATCACATTTCCTTCATATTCACACACTGGCCTATCTATTCTTATGCATCCAAATTAACGCCCTTGACAAGAAATTTAAAATTAATAGAAAGTTTTCCCGTCTCCTGAAGAATCACTCTTCATAAGATACGAGTTTAAGAAAGTAAGGCATCGATCTGTTATTTCCAGTGATTGATTCAACGCTCACTGTATTAACCAAAGCCATTCGAGGTTGTAATTGAATATCACGATGTTTTAATAACAACATTCAATTATGTTTTGTGAAATTTATTTATTTATTTATTTATTTAAATTCACCAACGCTTAATGATTGAAATGACTATTGTATAAATCATAATTAGACGTTCATAATCTCAGTACAGAGTACTAAAAAAACCGACCTCAAAAGTACGTGGAATTACGTCTATTTGCTAAGTTTCATTGAAATATCCCCTAGTTCGGCACTATACAGGACTTGATACTGGAGATAATAAAAATAGGTATCACTACGACACTACTTAAAGTATATCGAGGGAAAAACGCCTTGAGTTGGGTAAATAGCAAAGTCAACTAAATAATTGCTAAAA